AGTGTGTGATATTCAAATTTTGCTTTCTGGGTCAAAACTACTCGAATTTCCTCACTCACGTTGTTACGACTGAATCGACTTTTCAATTTTCTATCTAACGATGCCAAAACGAATTCTGTGGCTCGAATGGTTCTTGAGAAACCTCGAAAAAAGCAGCGTCATGTTCAAGTGGATTTTGCAACTCAAAAACTTCTTGAATTCAAGCATTTTATGACAAAACTGCAACATTTCCTTATCGATGGTTTACTTTCTAAAAAAGCCATTTAGTTCTCTTTGGAATGATGTAAAAACGAGCGTTCTTGCTCCTTTTGCTTCCGAGAAACATGCAAAACGGGACGGAAAACATGAAATTTTGCAATAATTTTACACCACCCTTGCACAAAACGACGATAATTTTTCTAATTTCATAGACAACAGAAGAATCCGCCCCTGCACGGGTTGCTATGAAAAACCGCCCGGTACGAGTGTCGGTCAATTAATTCTTCGTAGTTTTCCACATAACTAGAAAAATTTCGCAACATGAATGACGCAACTTGCCCTCATTTATCTAGTTTCCTCGATCTCATTTGCGTGGTTAAATTTGATTAAAGTGCACATCGATTAATAGCCATTTAATTTTTAAGACTTCCTGATAAAGCTGAATGATAAATCAAGTTTCGTACATACCGGGTGCGTTTGCAAGATAGACCTCCATACCGGGATTTCGAATCGCTTGCTTGAAATTGCAAAAAGTGTCTTTTACTCGCTCCCTATAGAAGGCAAATCGAGCTGCCAAGGCAAAAACGCAATTTTGCGTTTTTTCATACACGCACTGTGAATTTCCAAAACCTCCATCCAGTGAAAAAATCCACCGGTTTCTATTCTATGCATGCCGAAAAGATGATTTTAGGCAAATTCCTTCACCCAGTTGGGAGAAAATCGCAAAAAACCATCATTTCGTCCTCATTTGCGCGCACTTCCACTAGTAATAGTCCGGGCGAATAGKWCGAAAASAAACTTTTTGTTYCAAAMTTTTGAMSACTTCCAAATCCCMTTCTWTTTAATCTTTTGACATTTTTAGAGCCAAAAACTAACCTTAAAAGCAGAAGTTTGCGTTTTTTCCACATCCCCACAAGAGCGRTAACGGACATATTATCAGTTCTTGAGTTRGTTGGGGGTTTGAWRATTTTTGGTTTTTTTCAAAATCGCGTTTTTGGGGTTCTCTCGAAAACCGTTCYTGGTGTGATTTTGAAAAATCGTCTCCGAGTAKCGTTTGATTGAGCGGACATTTTATCAAGAGTGCAATTTTTCGATTAGAGGCCTCGTCGTTGAGAAAAAAWTTWWAATGTGAAATTCCCGACTATTGAATTTCAATCCTCAAAAAAATTATTCTAGTGAAAAATCCGTCGGTTTCCACTCTACTCATGAGGAACATTTCAGGCAAACCCCTGCACGTTTCGAAAAAATCGCGAAAATCSCTCARTTCGTCCTCAATTGACAGTGAGAACAGTCCCTATGCGCCTGTTAAAGCATCCCGAAGTATGTGCGCGCATTCGCCATTGTCCAGATAGAACTTAATTTCACTTTGTTGTGTTTTGTGACAGAGGCGGCGTAGCACTGTGCCTATCAAACTTGGGGCGACGCAACGGAGAGGCTCTGGTACGGTTCGTATCACAAGAGCACCGCGATATCGCACTCAAACGTCACAAGCACCACATCGGCCCGCGCTACATCGAAGTTTACCGAGCCAGCGGCGAGGACTTTTTATCAGTGGCCGGTGGAAGCAGCTGCGAAGCCCTGGCGTTCCTCAGCCGAGGCGCAGCAGTCATAGTGCGCATGCGAGGCTTGCCCTATGACTGCTCTGCGCAGCAAGTGGTAAGTCACTAAGACCAGCTAAGACCTCTTGCCAGTCAAGTTAATATGTCTGTTGTTTTGCAGCTGGATTTTTTCGCCGCCGGCGAAAACCCATGCAATGTGATGGATGGAGTGGAAGGCGTGCTGTTCGTTCGCAGACCGGATGGAAGAGCCACCGGCGACGCTTTTGTGCTTTTTGCCGAGGAAGAGGATGCGCCGAGCGCGCTCTCCAAGCACCGTGAGGTGATCGGCTCGCGATACATCGAGCTGTTCCGGTCAACGACAGCCGAAGTGCAACAGGTACCCTCAACACGCTTCTCCCTCTAGCTTTGGTAACGCCGCATCTTTACGCAGGTGCTGAATAGGTCGATGATGATTGAGGCGGCGCCCCCTCAACTGCCTCCAATCCCGATTCCCAATTATCCGCTACTGCCGCAACATGTTATCACCTCTGGCACACGGAAGGACTGCATCCGTCTGCGCGGTCTGCCCTATGAGGCGCAGGTGGAGCATATTCTGGACTTTCTGGGCGATTATGCGAAAAACATCGTGTACCAGGGGGTGCACATGGTCTACAATGCGCAGGTGAGTTTTCTCGGTTTCGTGCGCTTAAAGCGCGTTGACTCCAACGGCTCGCCTCAAGCGCCACCCGAGATGCGATAAAGTCTTGGAACACTTGAAGAATGAAACCAAGTCGCACTCCTTCTAGTCTTTTCCTGCATAGACAAAACTGTTGTCACTTTTTAAACTATAGAAATAGCTAAAGAACTGTTGAGCAGCTTGAGTGTCGCTAAACCATTGATGAACTAGATTTAATGCGTCAGCGCAGGCTCTTAGCGTGCAATTGGGCGTTTTCACTTTTTTTTGTTGATGTTGATATATATAAAGTAGTTATGGCAAACATTGCAGTGATATAATTTTTGTTGCAACAAAAATCTATAATAATTTTAAAGCGAATTTAAATTCAAATCAGATATTTTCCGCCCAAAACGCCGCATCCGAATCGTCGGTTGCCTATCCCGATTGTGACGTAGCAGGTCATATCAACAAAGCGATCTTTCATATATA